AATGGGGCCACAATAAAGGGACGTAGTCCACTATAAAGATCCTTTCCCTTTGTGCTTGCTCTTCTAATAAATTCTTTGCATTTTAACTTTTTTCTAGTTATAAATACAATACAGTTCAATATAAAAAGGAAAAAAAGATCTAAAAATAAGAAAAACATCATTTCTAATATCAAAGATCATATTTTAACTTTACAAAACTCAGAAATACATGAATAATAGTAGGAATAATAGTGATGAAATAGCTTATGTGCCAGACACTACTACCGGCTTAATTTGTATCATTTCACTGAATAAAAGCAAACCTAGACGGAAGCATTGACATTTCCTCCAGTCCAATCCAGTATGGTACCTTTAAGGAGTCACTTTTTCTTTAAAAAAATGGAATGATACTTAACATCTCAATCATCTTACCATCCCTAAACATCTAATGAAAACTAACACGAGAGATCAGCCTTTATATTCTGCTAATCTGAAAAATCAAGAATGCCCCACCTAATGACCAATGGTAGAATTAGCAGTCTAATCTCTGAACTGTTAAGAGTGTGTTTCAGCCACTCTTCATTCTGATGGTCTTCCATGAAGTTCTACTGTTCTTTCTAGGTTTACAATCTTTAGTCATGGAACTGTTAAAAAATAATGCTGATACATTCTACTAATACTTTTGAAAAGAATAATTTTTTAAGAGTCAACACATCTAAAAGACAGTTTGCTCAACTACAATTTCTTAACAGAACTATTTGAAATGTAGTTTAATATTGAACAATGATCAATAAAAATCTTAAAGTCCTTACAGAGGAAGTCACATTTCCATACCTTATTTTCTGTTCACTTTGAAGTTTAGTTGATATGCACATCTATTTTTCAGTGACTCTCTATTTCTCTACTAACTCTGAACATTAATTTTCTCTAGAACTCAGAGGTAATTTATGATTTAAAAATTCTTTGAGGCCACCGAATTTTAAAGTATGCTTTCTTAATTAAAATCTTAGCATTAAGCCCTTATAGGTTTACTGTTGTAAGACACTTTTGCAAAAGTATTTTTCCTCTTTGCATTATATCTCAAGTCCAACCATTACTTGTAAGGTAGACACTAGACATGTTTCATTCACTATTCCTTGTATTAAAGTAACTTTATCATTTCACTCTGGAGTCAACTTTGAAAATATGAGATGTGAGCAGAATATAGAGACTAATCTGCTCTTTTGTTGAGTGTATTTTCCTTGAATTTTCATTTTACAACGAGCTGCCAAGCTGAAACCATTGTCACACTGTGGCGATGAACCACAGAGCAGTCATGAGTACTCTGGAAGACAGTCCATTTGTGCCCAAAATCGCATGTGCCACAAGGTGGCACTTTATACATGTTCATCCTATATGAATTTGCGTCATGTGTAGTGATTTGAGGAACACAAAGAGGAACAGGCACCTCTCACCTTTTACTGCGGAGAAAACCCCAGATCTTCCTAAGTACTGTAAACGGCAGGGTTGCCCTAGTCACTTGATTCTCACCTCATATCTCAAGGGCCTCAAAGATTGGTTATGGTTGAGTTTTTTGTCATGGTATAAAAGGAAGCTGTTTTACAAATCTGACTCGAGCTTCACATTAAGGACTTCAAATTTTTTTCAGTAATCTCTTGGACATATGTTAGAAAAAGTTGTTAGACATAGTTGTCTTCCATCTAATTTTCTAAGAACAACTGCTTATATGACATAGACATCAAATTTGTGTTCAAGTTATAGCTACATATGTAGGATACACATAATACTCTCCTTGAATGGTTACAATATTATATGAAAAGAGCTTAATTTTGCAGTTGTGTGATGTTTATACATTTTAATTGCATCATTTGGTAAGTGAACATCTAAACTTCTTTATGATTGTTTATTCTTCACTTATTGTCTATTTCATACACCGACAAGTGTAGTTGCCTCCATTTTTATTTACTTTGTAATTAATATTTGAACGAGTGGAATAGGAATTTTTCTTACTTAGTTCTTGTTCATCTTTTTATAGATGAGTGTTTAATCTTTCTTTAATTAGCTCTGTAATGATACTGTCTAGATCTAATTTTTACATGAATCAGTTTTATTTACCATTTTGAAAAGTATTGTTCGACTACATACTGAATTTCTTGAACTGAGGTCTTTTTTAGAATTATGTAAAAATAGTGATGGCATACTTTTGATGATGTATAAAAAGTACGTATTATTATTTCAAAGAAATCAGAATTTTATCCTAACCTAAATCTTTGGCTTCTTGCGTTATACAATATAAGGATATATTGTGTGGTGAAGAATGAAACTTTGAAATCTGCCTGGGCCTCTCTGGGACATTCCAAAATTCATGGTTCATCTTTCAGGAAATATTTTAAGAAGATGGATATTCAGAGGCAATGAAATTCGAAACCAACTAGAGATTCTAGGATCGGTGCTCACTAAACTCATAAGAACTTTTAATGTCTTGGAGATCTCCTGATCTCCTCCCAGTAAATATTCCTGCTGTTAAATATAAAAACTAAGGAGGGTTTCTGGGTAGATAGAGGTGCAGATGTCTTCTATAAGATACGACTTTACCTAAAAGCTGGGAGCTCTCAAACCTCTCAAAAGACTGACTCTAGGAGTAGGTTCAAATGAAAAGGGAGATTCCTATGCTTTGAGAAAGCAAAGAAAAAGAAAAGGAAGAACGAATGAAAGTACAACCTAGAAACACCACACAATATGTGCTTCAGACAGCAATAGAAATGTCTACAGTTTTTCCCAAGTGCCAATGGAGACCAACCACTCGGCACACGAACTGGATTGCACCTGAAAGGCTTCCTGACCAAAGTCTCAGTCCAAGTTCTGCTGCCCTAAGGCCTGGTGGGTTCACATCACCTGAAAGAAATGCCAGTTTCTGTTCTGGAAGCAGTTGTGACAGTCCTGATTCAAACATGTGCTAAAGGAGGAAGTAAAGCTCAAGGACTTCCTGTGAGCAAGACTGTAGGAAGAGTAAGGAGGTATGGTCTTGATAACTTTTAAGTTCTTCAATCTAAGGTTTTTATAATAAACTCTACATTTAAATAGGAATGATGCTCAGCTTCTGAGACCAAAAACTCTTTTTGAAAAAGGAAAGGGGAAAAGGACAGGTGGAGAATGAGAGCAAAAGAGATGAGTAAGAAATAAATTTATCCAAGGAGGTACAAGACTTATACACTGAAAACTACAAAACATTGCAAAAAGAAATTACACACCTAAATAAAAAGAAAGACACATCATGTTCATGTATTGGAAGACTTACAATTATTAACATGATATACTACTGAAAGTGATGTATGGGTTCATTATAATGCCTATCAAAACCAGAGCACAACAGGGCAGTAATATTTAACACAACATTCACCTGAGACAGTACTGCACCCTAGGCACACTTACACAATTTGGGGCTAAATCAAGAGCCTAGGCATGGATGAACTGGTGCTCTGCTTAGAGCTTCAATAACTGGTTGACTTGTTGTCTGGTCTGTGTTCTCACATGAATACATGACTGGGGAAGAATTTACTTCCAAGGTCACTTTGTTGAGAGAATTCATTTCTTTGTGTTTGTAGGAGGGAGGGCTCTGACAACCATTGGCCAGCTGTTGGCTGAGGCTGCGGTTCACCTCCTAGAGGACACCCACACTTCTTAACCACAGGGACGTCCCCAGTGTGGCAGCTTACTTCATTCATCAAGCTGGACAGGCAGTCTCTAGAGGCAGTTTGCTAGCAAGAGCGTCTTTTATGATGTATTGTAGCTGCAGAGGGGCATCTATCACCTTCCCTACGTTTATTGTTTAGAAGCAAGTCACGATCCCACCCACACTCAAGAGGAGGGCATGCAACCAAAGATGAGGTGCTGTGAATCATAGGAATCACCCTGGAGTCTGTCACATGGCATATCTCTGTTTCTTCTGAGTTGTTAATTGATAACAATCCTGAATATAATCCTTAAATTCGTAAAATGTAGAACACTAAGAAGCCAAATCTAAACTCAGATTACATCTTAACTCAAAGTGCATGACTTTCCTACTTCTCAAGCCGTATTGTAAATTTATATATACAGATTCAGCTCTTACTGGGTTTCCAACATTTAAGCGAATCCCCAGAATGAAGAGGAAGAGCAAATGTCTTAGAGTTTAGTGGTATCTAGCCCTTTGTGGTATGTAGGAATTTCAATATTTTTGACTCTTAGTGTTAGCATCAGTAAAAGGGAGCTGATTTCCCATCTATCTTCATTGCGTTTGCGGTTACCCTGGGGCTCAAAAGTGACATTGATTATTCATTTGTTCCTGCAATCATTGTTACCAACATTGTTATGGGAAATAAAATGACCAAGAAGTACAGTAGAGGAAATCCTTGCATAGGTTGTGCACTGGTCCCTAATCAACTACCACAGGTTTGGTCACCCAAATAAAACAAAACTTTGATAATTTCACAAGAAGAAAAACCGTACTTGATTATTGGTTTAAATTGCACACATTCGCTTATTGCAACCTTTGCGGCATCACTGCGTGTTTTTTTTTTTTTCTCTCTTTATGGAACTTTATGTCCTCTTCCTATTTACTTTTTTTCCTATGCATGTAGCCATGTGCATTGATTTAGATAACCTCTGAATTAGCCTTTTTGTTTTCTATACACCCAAATATTCCCATCACTCTCGGGTCATTTCTAGTGTGCGTGGAGAAGGGGGTGAGAAAGCCGACGAGCAGCTGATTATTCTCTTAGCTCCACAGCTTGCTGCCTAGAATAACAGCGAATTCTGGATTGTTTCATAGCAGTGAGCACTGCGCACTTCGGGAAGGACGTCTCTGAAACTTTGGTTCTCAGAGGCCACCAGGATCCCCGCAGTTTCGCGCCGCGCCGGCTGTCCGGTGTCCGGGCTGGCTGTCCCGCTGCCCCCGCCCCTGCCCGCCGTCACCCCGGAGCGCGCGCCCGAGCCCGTCCCCGCCCGCGCCGCCGCCCCGAGCGCTCCGGGCGCGTGGTCACGCTGTGCGGGCTGCGGGGAGGGCTCCGGGGCAGTCGGGGAAGCCGGGCCCCGCGCCGCCGGGCAACTTCCGCGGGCGCAAGGTCGGAGCTTGGCGCCGGCCGGGACAGAGAGGTAAGGAGGGGCCCCGGGGGAGCTAGCCGCACCTTGGCACCTGGCGGCCGCCTCGGGAACTTTGCGGGCGCGGCTTCTGCCCGGCCCCGCCCCGGGGTGGGGGCTGCCGGGCAGTGGACCCGGGGTGCTGGTCCCTCCCGCCCTCGCCGTTGGGTGGGAGGCCGGGAGCGCGCGGCGGTTGCTCCCGAGTCTCCGAGGGATCCGTCCTCCCGGCTCTCCCGCCGGCCCCTCTTCCTCCGGGCACCTGCAGCCCGGAGAAGATGGCCAAATTTGTGAGGGAGAAAAGCGGGTCCCAGGGGGCCCTGGCGGTCTTGGCGTTCACCTTGGGAAAGTCCTGGTTACACCGAGAACGCGCTCGTGAGCAGACTGGGGTCAGAGTTTACACGCGCAGTTGGGGCGCAAAACGCTGCTGCCCAGAGGTGGCGCGGACCAGTTTCGTCTAATAGGAGATCTCCCTGGCAAAAAAGGAACGAACCCAAACCACTGACTCGTCACTGCCAAAGTCGGTTTCAGTGGTATTAGTTTTGAGGGTCTGTATTTTGGGGAAAGATTAAAGGTACAGAATCAAAATATAGTTAAAAGCGAGGACAGGTTTTTTTGTTTGTTTATGTTTTGTTTTACCAGGAGATATTTGCAAAAGATAGTGGTTGTAAATAATTTTTGAATTTATTTAATACATCTACAGGAAAGTCGATGTAGAAGCCCACTTTTGACGTGATTTGAATAACTAAATTTCCTGACTTCACTGTCATTCTTGTATTGTTATTTTGAATGTGCAGATATGTAAACAGCTGTTGAATTTTATAGGAGCCTTAAAAATTATTGCTGCCTGTTTACAATAAGTTTGTGGCTATTTTTTTCTCATGTTTTTAATTTGAGAACTGTTAGATGAAAATACTGCTTGTGTGGTAGTACAGTAACTTGGCGTTGTTCTTTGTGGCAGTAGAAAAACCAAACAAGAACTACATAAAAATTGGATCTGTGTTTGCACATTTGCAAAATGAAGAGACTTAGCCTCTCTCAGATCTCAGATAATTTCTAAGGTTCTTTCCTGTCTTGAGACTTCAATATATATCTTCAGGAGTTGGGGATATAAATATTAATTGAAATCTAGATTAAGATATTATCTGCCCACAAATTTTTCTACATTTAAATGGAAGACACTTGATTCTTTAATCATCTCAATCTCTCAGAATAGCTGAATCATTGTACATCCTGTGCTCTTAATGGTTACAATGTATGCTATTAAATAAAAATGTGTCTTGAACCCCCAAACCCCTTATTCCGTGCTACAGAACTGATAGCACTTGATGCGCTAGACCACGCATGCCTGCTTATTTTGAAATAGTCCGCAGGAAACATCAAGAGTGTTATGAAACATTTACTACAGTATACAAGGACACTTAAGCAACATTACAGGCAAGAAATTTCAAAACTGCTTTGGAAAACATTTATGATAGGTTTGCAAACCAGCAAATTGCAGTTGAGGTAGTTTTTGTAATTATGGTATTGATTAACTGGAATTATAGCCTATCAGATTGAATTTGCTTCTAATTAATAAGTATATTGAATCAATTAGGGTTTTTACCAGAGGAAAAGACAAAATGTTTCTCCCTTTTGTGTGAGCAGTTACAGGAAAATGTCTAAAGTGAAAGTTACAACAGGTATTCTCTACATTAAATAAATAGTAACAAAAAGTTGCTGATTTAAATCATGTATAAGAGTGATGTGTCCTCTAACCCGTAGAAGCCAGGGCTTAATCCACACATACGGGAAACAGAGCCTGTCCTCTGTGTTCCCTAACAGAGTAAAGATACCACTGGCGCTTACTCTGGAATTGGTGGGGTAGGGTTGCCACAGAAAGGGCCCTGGAGCAGGACTGCCACAGGGCCAAGCAGGTGGCAGAACTTAGCGGAGACTCCATCTCTCAGAGCCTGTCTTCTGCTCTGAACAGTGCTGAATCTCAACTCTAAAATGTGAGACCTTCTGAGTACTGATATGATGCACAAAAGCTCCAGGTTTTGGAGCATTTTAGATTTGGGATTTTCAGCTTAAAGATGCTCAACTGGTAAAGTCTATGCAAATATTTCAGAATCTGGTAAAGACTACGCAAATAGTTCAATGTTGCCTCCCCTCCCCCCAAAAAAGTGTGAAATTTGCAACACTTTTAGTCCCATGCATTTTGGATAAGGGACACTTAGCTTGTAGTAATGTTTAGATTGAGAGTTGCTAGGACTCCTCGGTGGATCGGTGTTTTTCAGATCTAGTGCCTACATGTAGTATGAGAGAGCCCAGCTAATCTTGGTTTTCCCTTCCTTCCTTGGAAGTTGTTTATTGACTAAACAAATTGTAGGTGAATAGTAGGATACAGTATTGATTTCAATTTTCAGAGATTTTTTGATTTGTTTATTTTTGGTTTTTGAGATGGGATCTCACTATGTAGTTCAGGCTCGCCTTGAACTCACTGTATAGTCCAGGCTGCCCTTGAACTCCTAGTGATCCTCCTGCCTCAGCCTCCCAAGTGCTGGAATTACAGGCATGCACCACCATGCCCGGCAATTTTCAGAAATTTGATGCAATGAAATCTTGGTGTCTACTGAATCTGGGTAATGGTTATATTGGTAATGGGTTTATTATGTACTATTTTCTCTGTTTTTTTTATGTTTAAAATTATTCATCAGAAAAAATTAAGTGCAAATCAAAAAGCATGAGACATTTGTAATTCCACATTTCATTGTTACTTTTATGTGTTTTGATTAGTATATGTATTTCACATATTTAAATATGGATACTCTCAAATTATACATAGGAATGGATGAGCAGAAAATGGTCCGGAGAAAATCAATTTTTGTGGAATTTTTCTTTATTATGAATAAAACTAAAGAAAATATGACATTGTTGGATGTTTGTTCTGAATGTTGGGGCCACGGATTTTTATTATATTCTTTGAGATTTTTCACATTTAAAATTTTGAGCCAGATGCAGTGGCACACACCTATAATCCCAGCACTCAGGAGGCTGAGGCAGAAGGATTTCCATGAGTTCAAGGCCAGCCTGAACTACTGTGCATAGCAAAACCCTGTCTCAAAAAAAAAGGTCTGAGTATATAGTTCAGTGCAAAAGCTTTGAGTTCAATCCACATTGCCACAAATGAAGGAAGGAGAAAAAAACCAAGAAAAGTTTAATATAAAATCACCTTATTGTTTTCTAAAATCATTATAAAGAATGTAAACAATGCAGATAATATATATACAAAGAAAAGGTAAAAATAGTTAGAATACTGCCATTCAGAAATACTTACCTTTAGTATAAGTGAAAATATTCTGCACGTCTTTTCTATGCATTTGTACAAAACAATATATGGATAGAGAACAGAAATGCTTTTATAAAAGATAAGATTGTTAAATAAGCAAGAGATCATTGGCTTGAGTCTGTCCCCCTACTTTGAGTTCCTTTATAACAAACTGCAACTTAATTTTGCATATGAACAAACCAAAACCTAATTTAAGAATATATATATTCTTTGTAACAAATAGCAAAGTTTTATCCAGTCATAAGCAGCTAGTTTCAACCAATCACAGGCAACCACCTCATCACACCATGCCCAGAGGAGGCAAATGCACAGCTGTAGCCGGTCAAGTGTTTTCTCTACTTTGCTTCCATTTTGGGCTTATGGAAGTTTGCTGCTTCTGCTGCTGGATAGGGTCTGAATCTCTTCTGGTTCCAAGTACTGCTTCATTCATGAACTGTTTTTTTTTGTTTTGTTTTTCTTTTTTTGGTACTGGGGATCAAACTCGGGACTTTGTGCTTGCCAGGCAGGCGCGGCACCACTGAGCTGCATCCCCAGCCTATGAATTGGTTTCTGCTCAAATAAATAATACAATTTAGTTTTTCTTTTCACAGGACAATAATAGAGATGCTTTTTTTTTTGGTACCGGGGATCGAACTCTGGTCCTTGCGCCTTTGAGGCAGGCAGAGGAACCACTGAGCTAAATTCCTGGCCCGAGATACTTTTTAAAATAAAAATTTAATAATGCTTTCAATAAAAGAAGAAACTGTAGTCAAAGTGAAGGAATCACTAACTTAACATCAGTGTTTCTGCATCCTGAGAGATAGTCTTCCAAATTGTCCTGAGCAAGTCTTCCAAATTAAAAAAAACCCTGGATATATTTCAAGATCAGATTGTTTAAATTTACATGTATTAGTTTAGGCAGTCAGTGACTCCCTGTTAGAAACAATGAAGCATTGGCACTTTTATTGTACACTTCCTATAGTATCACTTTTCATATCTCTAATTTTTCACATATTTATTTTTTGATACAAGGATCTATAACACTTGCACGGTGTTTTATAAACTTCATTTCATATATTACAGAATTTAGTCTTAGTTTTATAGCCAAATAGAATCACTGATGATCTCAAATATCAACTTTAAATTTTTTGCGGTGCTTGGGATTGAACTCTGGACCTTGTGCTTGTGAGGCAGGTGGGGTGCTACTGAGCTAAATCCCCGGCCCTCAGCTTTAAATTTTTGATTCATTCTTTGGCTAGATTTTGTCACCATGTTGCATGTGTGTGTGTGTGTGTGAGAGAGAGAGAGAGTGTGCATGTTAGTTTCCAAGAAGGGCTTGGTCTATGTGCCTTTTCATGTTTGGAATTTTTATCTTTTATTCCTATGTTGAATTACCATTTGGCTAGTTATAAAATTTTTGATCCATAGTTTCTCACCTCAGAATCAGGTAGCCTTTGCTTCATTAGTTTGTGGCATCTATTGTGGCTGTAAAGAAATCTGACATCAGCCTTCAAAGTTTCCCCCAATCTAACTGACTTTTTCTGCCTGTAGTCATAAAGTATTTTTTTCTATTATTGAGGCAGTACTTAGCTAGGCTGTTTCATAGTTAATTCCTGTATCAGTTTTTCATGGAAGCTATACATGCTTTCTATTGGAGTAATCTGTTCTTAATTTTAGGATGATTTTTTTTCCACTATGAATGCTTTCC